ATGTGGTTCCCAGAGTAGCAGGTCCATGGTTGTGCCTGGGTTGCCAGGTTTCAGGGGAGGGAGGGAATGGGGAGTTGTCTAATGTGTACAGTGATGAAAAGGTTCTGGAGATGGGTGGTAGTGATGGTTGCTCAACAGTGTGGATTTACCGAATGCCTCTGGATTGTACACTTCAATGTGGTTAAAATGGTAAATTCTATGTATATTTCACTGCAGGGTTGGTTTGTTTTTCCAATTTTTTATTTAAAAGGGAGTGAGAGAGACAGAGAGAGAGGCCTTCCAACTGCTGGTTTACTCCCCATCTGCCCACAATAGCCAGGGCTGGACCAGGCTGCAGTCAGGAGCCTGTAATTCCACCCAGGTCCCCACATGGCAAGGACCCATCTTCTGCCTCCCCTCAGGTGCACATTAGCGGGAAGCTGGATTGGAAGCAAAGTAGCTAGAACTCGACCCAGGCAGTCCAATACGGGATGTAGATGTTCCAAGTGGCAACTTAACTGTTGTACTATGCACCTGCCTCTCATTGCATATTTTTACAAAGAGATGTGTCTTTCCATAGGCAATCTGACCAGTTTTTGACTTGACATAGATCGGGTTTCCAAATCCACAGTATTCCTTTTTAAATGAATTTATAAATGACACAAGGAAAAATACTTATTAAACTTGTGTTTATACAAGGCTCGGGAAATTAATAAAATATGCCTTATTTTCTCCAGGGATTTGCTATCTAATATGTGAGAAAGACAGAAGCAATTAACTATAATCTACAATGGAATAAAATAATGAGCTAAGTATGGAGAAGCAAGCAATGAATTCCAATTTGATGTGGGAAGGATTCCCAGAGAAAGTGGTGTTTACACTAGACCTTGAGGGAGACAGAGTTTACTCCAGGAAAAGCGCAGGTGAATGTGGGAGCCCATTAGAAAGGGAGATGGAGGGACAGCACTGGGGCACAGGGAAGCCAACAGACCCCCAAGTCCCATTGCCTGAGACCCTGACCAGTACTAAGCCACCACAGGACTCTGAATATGCCTGGCTGGCCAGGCACGGAGGCAGTGGAGATGACCAAGGAAGCAGGATGAACTCAGCAAAGCCAAAGCCAGCCCTGTGTCAGGGCCAGAGTCAGACGCTGGCTGGCTCGGAGCTGTGATTCTGGAGAAATACAGAGCATGCCGGAGCTTCCTGTGCAATCGGGGACGTGGCCCCTGACTGCTGGTGCCCGACCAGGGGCAGCTGTTGGCTTTGCAGTCAGACAGCAAAAATAATAGAGGCTTTCTCATGAAATCCAACAGCCGATGTCATATTTCTCGCCAGCAGCTTGCACTGAGCCAGTCTGCAGCGTGTGTCTTCCCCCAGTGCCCACATGTGTGGACTTAGCCCTGGACGCCGGCACCCAGTGGTGCACAGCGGCATAACCGCCGCCCTGGCCCAGGTGGAGAGGAGAGCAGTCCTTGTGAACCGGAAAACCATGGCTGCTCTGTCAGCCGCGCTGTGGGGCGAGCTGGGGGCGATCAGCCTGTGGGAAGGAGACAGAGGCCATGTACAGTTTTCTGTCTTGGCCCTGGAAGATCTTCAAGGTCAGCTCACTCAACAGATGATTGTCCATCATGGTGGGTCATTCTTGGCTGGTGGCTCTTTCTGTTCCTTCAGGCCTTTCGTGTGCTGTCCCCTGCCTTCTCTTGGGGACTCCTGCCCCAGGCAGCCACAAAGATGGCCTCGGAGGTCCCTCTCCCCAAAGCTTATAGGAACCAGAAGCACCCACAGCCAACTTTCATCTGCCCGTGGTCAGGCACAAAGTGGAGGGTACAGGCCCTGTCGGGAAACCCACAAGCCCACCCCTTCTTGTTTTCCAGGTTCCCAAGATCCATCCACCTCCAGGGCTCAGGCCCTGGCACGCTCCACTACCCCCTTCCCTTCTTGGAAGACTCCTTAATTCCCCCAGGTGGGCCTAATTCACAAAGAGCTGGAAATTCCCTGCCTGGGGTCAGGGCACCTGGGCCTGGGAACACAGATCCCTGGCTGCCTCTCCTGCAAAGAGAAGGGGACAATTCTCTCCATTGTTTTTGCTGATAGGTCAGGGTAGGGAAAAAGATAAGCTTCAATTAACTTCTCACCTTACTGCACATTCATGGTCTCCCTCCTTGATGCCTGGAGACAAGGTGAGCCGGGCATCACTTCCCTGCTGCCATGAGGTCACGTGGAGCCACTGGCCCTGGCACCTGTCAGCACGGAGTCCTCAAGAGTCTGATCAGATCTGGATCCCACACAGTGCTGGAGGGTTAGACAGCTGAGGGGTGGGGCTGGCACTGTGGCACAGCGGGTTAAAGCCCTGGCCTGAAGCGCCGGCATCCCATATGGGTGCCGGTTCTAGTCCTGGCTGCTCCACTTCTGATCCAGCTCTCTGCTATGGCCTGGGAAAGCAGTAGAAGATGGCCCAAGTCCTGGGGCCCCTGCACCCACGTGGGAGATCCAGAAGAAGCTCCTGGCTCCTGGCTTCGGATCGGCGCAGCTCTAGCCATTGCGGCCATCTGGGGAGTGAACCAGCTGATGGAAGACCTCTCTCTCTCTCTGCCTCTCCTCTCTCTGTAGAGGGGTGAGCCTCCCTAAAGCTACTTTAGAACTGAGAATCCTGGCATGTCAGACCTAGGGGAGCACTGTCACTTGGGAGCAAGCCAAGTGTCCCCAGGCCCAGGCCAAGAAGCCCCTGGATCTGAGGGCCTGGACCCAGCTGTGAGGACAAGGCCCTTCCGTGCTGCGTGCTGCATGAAGTGACTCCTTGGAACACTATTCTCTGTTCTTTAAAATAAAGGTCTCGTTAGCTGACTCTTTCCATTTTTTTTTTTTCTTTTTTAGATTGATTTATGTACTTGAAAGGCAGAGTTACAGAGAGAGAGGGAGGAGGAGAGAGATTGTCCCTCTGCTGGTTCACTCCCTAAATGGTCACAATAGCCAGGACTGGGCCAAGCCAAAGCCAGGAGCCAGGAATTCCAGGTCTCCCACGTGGGTGCAGGGGCCCACACGCCTGGGCCGTCTGCTGCTGCTTTCCTAGGCACACCAGCGGGGAGCTGGATCGGAAGCAGAGCTGCTGGGACTCGAACAGGTGCTCCTACAGGATGCAGATACACCACAATGCCGGCCCCCAGAATTTCCTTACAGGAAGCTCCCAACCTCCAGGTTCCGTAAAGTCTGTTTTCTGTCTTAAAAGGACGCTTTGAGAATCAGAAACTGACTTTTCTTCAGATGCCAAAACTCAGGGAGAATCCCTGGGCCCAAGGTCCTTCCATTGGAAGGTCTACCAGTACCAGAGGCCTCTCGTAGGCTCCCCTTTACAGCCTCTCAGTCTCTGAGGCCGCACTCCACTTTGTTCTCACGTCTGGGGTGTACTGGGGTGTGCTTCCAACAGCTCATGGAGAAGCCGGTGTCTCGGCAAAGCTGGAGAAGCTGTCACTTGCTGGTTCTAGCCCTGGCACTTACAACCCAGCTCCCTGCTAATGCATATGGGAACGCAACAGAAGATGGCCCCTGGGGACCTGGATGGAGTTCCCGGCTCCTGGCTTCAGCCTGGCCCATCCCTGGCTGTGGTGGGCATTTGGGGGATTGAACCAACAGATGGAGAAACTCTTGCTCTCTTACTCTCTCACTCACTATGACTTTCAAATAAATAAAAATATAAAACCTAAAGCAAAAAATTCATGAAAAATGGAATTAAAAATAAATTCATTTTGGTGAAAATAAATTTTGAAACCCATGGAGTTTTCTCAAAATATGCACTTTCCACAAACTTTTTGGAGACCTCATATATGCATAGATTAACACATTTTTGCATCAAAATAAACTGATCTTTGCATCGAATTTTCTGAACTTTTGGAAGCATGCTTGCATGTCAGTGGTTTAAGGCCTCTTTTGCATGTCCGCTCTGGCCTCTTCGCCCTCCTGTCTTTGGGCTGGAAGCAATGTCCTTTCACCTCCCCCTGGGTGAAGCCCCCAGAGCGTCGGTGGGCATTTTGCCATGCCTGCTGCAGGCTGTGTGCACGGACAGATATAGCATCCCATGAGCTGATTTATGTTGTCCAGATTTGTCGCATCACGCGCACACCCAGGCCGGCTGATATTTTAGGCGCGTGAATCAGAGTGTCTGGCATGGCTTCCTCTACAGCAGAGCTCCGGCTGCAGGCATGATGAAGTTGGGAGGGGAAGAGTCCCACTTAGCAGGAGGAAATTTGTGTCAGTAACAAGTCTGCCTGGCAACAGCACTAGGAAAAGATACCAGGTCCCAACACAGAGCCAAAATCTGCACACGAGTACAGCAACAGCACCCTGTGAAATGAAATTTTCATCCTTGCTGTGCTGACTACTCTCTTTAAAAAAAAAAAAAAGGAAAATAAGCCTTTCATACATGCATTCTCCAAAGGGTATCTCCGAACCTGCTGCTGCCAAGCGGAGACTGATGAGCTTGCAACACCACCAGGCTGAGCCACCCTTGAAGTGTTAGCGTGAATAGGAGGAAAGAAGCTTATGTAATCGAATCAGAAGCTCAGAGAGAAGCTGCAGGGGCAGAACTAACTGACCCCCTGTGCCTCAGGATGGGACTGGACTTGGGGAATGGCGCTCAAGACTAGGGAGAGACTGGTGGTTAAGATGCACTTAGGACGCCCAATGCCCATAACAGAGTGCCTGGGTTCGATTCCCGGCTCAGGCTCCTGACTCCAGCTTACTGCTAAGGCAGCCCCTGGGGGCTCCAGTATTTGCATTCCTTCCATCCACATGGGAGACCCGGATTGGGTTCCCGGCTTTAGTGGAGCCCTGCCTATTGCTTTTGTGGGCATTTAGGGAGTGAGTTAGCAGATGGGAAGTCTCTCTCTCTCTCTCTCTCTCTCTCTCATCTGTTTCTCTGCCTCTCAAATAAACAAATAAAAACTAGGGAGGCAGATATCCCTTTATTTCCTCCCAGTCTCTTAAGGATACTCTGATAAAATGTAGCTTCACACACACCCCCCCCCCCCCACCCCAGGAATCTATTCAGAAGGAGGAAGAAAGAGGAACCAGAATGAATCCGGATAGCAGACCCTTGTTTCTTCGTCACTGCTGGGTCACAGGTGTGTGGAAGTGAACACACCTAGTTCTATCTGTGCCCTGAGCGACCTTGAGGGTGTCTCTTCATCCTTTCCACCGACTGGAGAATAAACCGCTACTCTTAGAGGTCTTCTCAGCTCTGACTTTCTAGAATTGAATTCCAAGGTCAAAACTAGTTTTCAATCCTGAGAAAGTCAGGAATGGAAAAAAGTCCCCATACATGTTTAGACCTCAACTGCTGGCTCCTGCAGCCTCTTCACGTCTTCAGTCTTAAGTGTTCCCATGAATACATCAGTCAGTAGTATCTGGGATGCATTTACATTTTTGGAATCGGTGTAATTCTATTTGGTTTGATGCCACAGGAAGTTCAAGCCTGATTGAATTAAGGGGTTTCATAAAATGAGTTTTTAAGAGGGAAAGACAATGCGTTGCACATGTTATACCATTGTACTTGTCACTGTTATCCAATCAGGCATGGGTGAGGGCAGGACTTGTGTTTCAGTCCAAGAATCTGCTAGCAATCCATGAAGTCGAACATTTTACAGTCTTATTTGGAAGCAATGGAATTTAACAGCTGAAGGGCCTTTGAGGTAGGCATGCGTCTCCTGCTAAAACAAGGGTAGGAAGACTTGTACCCATTTTTGCACACCTCTCAGCTCCTAATGTAGTCTTCAGATTGTGGGCCTGAAAAATTGAACAGAAAAAGTCCTGATTGCTAAGCTTGGAAAAGAGAAGTGGTCAGCAGCCTAAAACAGGGCCACGTCCGGTCTGAAGGTGCTGCTCGTTCCATCAGGAACATCCAGAGCAAGCTTTAAATTCCTGGCTGTGAGAACAGGCGCAGGGACAACTGGGCAGAGAGACGTCCAGGTCACAGCAGCAGCTGGCTTTTTCCATAAAGTGCAACCCTCTTGGGGAACAGAGTTCAAGTCAACTGAGGACCCAAGGGGGGGCCTTGGAGCTGGTGCAGGCAGAGACTGCAGGGCTCCAGCAGTTGGCTAAAAGCAGGCATGCTTGCAGGGGAACCTGGAAAGAAAGGACTGGAAGCAAAGATCCTGAAATGACCCAACTGGGGCCAAGGGGACAGCACTAAGGGACAATATGGAAGGGAAAATCCAGGGGACATTTACTGCATGCAAACAGAGCATATTGGAAGGAGACCCCAAGTTGTCACCAATGGGAAGTCAAAGCAGTGGGGAAACAGACTGGAGAATGGAGGTGGAAGCTGGCAGAACTGAGGGTCAGGCCGGTGCCGTGGCTCAATAGGCTAATCCTCCGCCTGCAGCGCGGCACACCAGGTTCTAGTCCCGGAGGGGTGCCAGATTCTGTCCCAGTTGCCCCTCTTCCAGGCCAGCTCTCTGCTGTGGCCCAGGAGTGCAGCGGAGGATGGCCCAAGTGCTTGGGCCCTGCACTCGCATGGGAGACCAGGAGAAGCACGCAGCTCCTGGTTTCAGATCAGCATGGTGCGCCGGCCGCAGCACACTGGCTGCAGCAGCCATTGGAGGGTGAACCAACAGTAAAGGAAGACCTTTCTCTCTGCCTCACTGTCCACTCTGCCTGTCAAAAAAAAATAAAAAGTTAAAAAAAAAAAAAAAGAACTGAGGGTCAAGGCAGCAGGATCAGAACAAAGAGATGAGTCTGTGTCCTGAGTTCTTTGTGGAAGACGCCTCTCCCATGGCTGCAGTGGTCACTCGCAGGGGTAGGGAAACTTTTCTTTCAAGGGCCATTTGGATATTCATAACATCATTAGTGGACCACACAAAATGACCAACTTACCAATCAGCCTGCTATGGGGCTGGCACTGTGATGCAGCAGGTTAAGCCTCTGTGTGTGATGCTGGCGTACTATATGGGTGCCGGTCTCAGCTGCTCCTCTTCCAATCCACCTCCTTGCTAATGAGCCTGCAAGAGCAGTAGAAGATGACCCAAGCATTTGGACCCCGGCTATTCACATAGGAGACCTGGATGGAGTTCCTGACTCCTGGCTTCAGCCTGGCCCAGCCCCAGCTGTTGCAGCCATTTGGAAAGTAAACCAGTGGTTAGAAGATTGATCTCTCTCTTTCTGGAACTGCCTTCAAAATAAATATTAAAAAAAAATTTACCCTGCTTTAGATTTTTAAAAAAACCTTTATATATTTATTTGAAAGAGGGAGAAAGATCTTCTATCTACTGGTTCACTCCTCAAATGGCCACAATGCCCAGCACTGGACCAAGCAGAAGCCAGGAGCCTGGAATTCTATCTGGGTTTCCCATGTGGGTGGCAGGCAGGGACCCAAGCAGTTGGGCCTTCTGCTGCTTTCCCAGGCACATTAGCAAAGAGCTGGATCAGAAGTGGGGCAGCTGGGACTCAAACCGGTGCTCATATGCAGGCGGCAGCTTAATTCACTGTACCGCCACGCTGGGCCCAGATTACTGAAATTTGAATGCCACCTGAGGTTGTCTTGGCAGGGCCAGGCCACATGATTTCACAGGCCTTCTACAGCCCATGGGCTGGGCTGTTCCCCACCCTGCATAAGGAAGTGTCTAGTAGCTTGGACAAAGACAACAGAACAAAAGAATTAAAAATCAACTAAGACTTCTTCCCTTTAGACCATGCCCTTGAATTTTAGGAGTAAGTACGAGAACCACAGTCTCTCCCTCTCCATTGTGCTTCTGCGCAAGTACAAGAGACCTTGCAGAAAAGGGTTGGAGCTTTTGGAGTTTGCATACAGAACCCACATAGTCTAAGGATATCCGTTATCTCATACAACAGGAATCCAGCTGAGAAGAGCAGTGCCAGGGTGATTTAGAGCAGAGCCCAGAGCTGATGACAAGGACCCAGAGCCTGCACACCCACTCCCTTCCCATTCTTCAAGGGGTCCTCTGAGGATGGCTCTTCCTCGTGTCCTCTGGAGGTTTAGGCATCAACCCAGACAACAATGTTAAAGGCAGAGGAAAGACAAAACCTTTCCCTTGTATATGCTTTAAAAAAAAGATTTATTTATTTATTTGAAAGAGTTACAGAGAGAGGGAAGGAGAGGCAGGAGAGAGAGAGTCTTCCATCTGCTCATTCACTCCCCAGTTGGCCTCAATGGCTGGAGCTGTGCCAATCCAAAGGAGTCAGGAGCTTCTTCTGGGTCTCCCACATAGGTGCAGGGACCCAAGGACTTGGGCCATCTTCTACTGCTTTCCCAGGCCATAGCAGAGAGCTGGATTGGAAATGGAGCAGCCAGGACTCGAACTGGCACCCATATAGGATGCCAGTACTGCAGGTGGCAGCTTTACCCACTAAACCACAGCACTGGCCCCTGTATATGCTTCTTAAGAGCCAGGAGTCCCTTCCCAGGAGAGTCTCCCTACCTTTCCCTCACCTCTTTTCAGCAGGACTGCATCACACTCCTGTGCCTGGGGGTAAAGAGCTCAACAGGCAGAGGGGGCAGATAAAGTCTCCTGTGGGACCTTGCCCTGAGGCCCATGGCAGAATTGGGACTGGCCTCACAGAGGCGAAGGGGTGAAGGCCCAAACTGCGCGTGGAATTGCTCTGGTTAGTAGGAAAGGGAAGGGCACGGGATGTCCGTGAGCCACACCAGCTCTGGCTGGCCGCTGGCTCCCTGCCTTCCCCCATCCTTTGTGGACAACTATAACAGAGAAGTAGTGGAGGTGACACAGCCAAGGCTTCTCAGAAAAGGCAACTCTCAAATCCAGCCCCTCTGATTCAGTCGGACGCACTGTCTACCCCACTGCACGGTTCTTTCTTGTAGCATTTAATCGTGTTGGCTAAGGCTCAAGGTGAGGACATGGCCGTGAAATGAGAAGACACATCCAACACTGTGATAATGAGATGTGGCCATTTTGGTGGAAACAGCAAGGGGCTCAGAATCAGACGGATCTGGCTTGAGTTGGCTCCATTGTCTGGCTGAGAGGCACTGGCACTTCCGTCATCAGCCTAGGCCCGCCTCCACCACACTTCCTTTGCATGGGAGTCCCTTCAAGAGAGGCAGTGCTGTGAGGGATGCCATGCAGATGATGTAAAGTCCATGGACAATGGCTTAGCTGGGGAGAGACAGGAACCACATACCCCCATTTTCTCTCCTCTCACCTGGTGTCCATTACTGCTACAGCTTGAACACGATTTACCCCAACTCCTGCAGATGGTTAAGTCCCACAGTCACCTACCAATGGTACATAACAGGGTGTAGGCTTGATGTGATGATGGTGTTTGGAGGTCAGGCCTTAAGGATGTGGTGGGATTGGATCAGGATTTCTAGGGTGGACTCCGTTGGCTTGGGAAGGAGAGAGCACAGGGCTGAGTCTGCTCCATGTCTCTCTGCTTCCCACTGTGCCGCATGGTCTCCCTTCCACACGCATTCCACCACACACCCCCTCATCAGACTCCAGACCAATGGGGTCGCCCATCTTGGACTGTGAACCTCCGTAACCAGGAGCTGAAATAAATCTTCCTTCATAAGTACCTTGTCTTGAGCATTTTAGCTACAGTAATGAAAATCTATAATTACTACCCACCCACCTTGGCCAACCCCAACCAGAAGCCAAAGAGAAACAGAAGGGCGGGTAATGATGGGGAGGGGCCAGATGGGCAAAGGAGAGGAGCCAGAATGGTTGCTGGCCGTGCCTGCTCCATACCAGATGTGCAGGCGGAAATGGATGTCACTTCCAAGCTTGCTTCTTTCTCTGAGAAGTTTGCTTTATTTTCAGAATCCCTAAGTCAAGTTCTAGAAGAAAGAAAAGTCATACTTCTCACAGATGGAAGCAGGCTTGGCACTCTAGGCCGTGGATGAGGGACCATGGCTCCCAGCCCCCCTGCCCCTCTCCCCTCTCATTTTCCGGCCTCTGCAGATATACAATGGGCCATCCTCTCAGGCTGAGTCCACGTGCCCACAAGCTCCTCCACTCTAGCTGCACTGACCTGTGGGGCAGCCGGATGCTCACGAGCAAGTCTGCCAGCAGCCATGGTATCAGCGGCCACGGCATCCGTCTTCTGCTATGGTGACAGCATCAACAGCGGCAGATCTCAAGGAGATTTTCCTTGAGTGGGGGTGATTCCTGCTGACCAGCGTTGACACAGCCGCGCTGCCTTCCCTGTGCCTGTCCGTGACCAGAGAGTGATGACAGGCCACTAGGCCACTCTCAACTCAAGAGCCGGGCGTCTGGAGCCCCCCCTGCGCCTTCTGCCAGCTCGGGATGAGTCAGTGCGCGGTGAGAGTGAATGAAGTACAAATGGAGACTGAGAAGCAGGGGCGTTTGACTCCCATGACTCTCACGGCACCTTGGCTCCCCCATCGCCTCGATGCCTCCGGTATTCATTTGCCCTCCTCACCTTGTTCTCATTCCAGAGCCCTCGTTCTGAGACCTCCACCTGCAGATTCGGGAGGAAGATCCAGCACTTCCGCCCAGCTCGCTCCACTGCTGCAGGGCGGAGCGCACTTCCCAGTGCCAGAAGAAAACCAGCTTCGTTCCAGAGCAGGCCGGGCCCCTCAGCCCTGATTTACCTGAGATGCCGCCTGCACAGGGCCTCCTGTTCTGACTAAGATGTTGGGTGCTGCTTCCTGCTTATTTACCGGACAAATGCCTGGTGACTTGACTCATAGGCGTTGCAATCTTTACACATGCCTTCCCTTTTCACCCCTTACTCAACTGTTGAGCGAGCCAGAGAGAACAGATTTTTAATTGGATTCCTGCTTTGATAAGATCTCATGTGTTCCCTTTAAACACCTAGAGGACTTTTTATCTTCCTGTTCTGCTAACTTGTAGTGGGGTTGGAGTGGGGGCAGCTGTTCTCAGCAATAAGAAATGTCTCGGTAATTACAAGGTAATTTAGAAATGCATAGATCATTCCACAAATGGGGAGGATTCAGTACAAGTCATGTTCCTTCTCAAAAGCAGCCGTTGCCTTTACGTAATGGATGTGTGGAAGAACGTGCTGTCTTCTGTGCCTAGAGTTATTTGCTTCAGTTATCTTGGTGAGCTTCAATTCTGCCTCCTCCTCTTCCTTTGAAAGAGAGAACATTGTTTATTCAGAAGGATATCCAGTTCTCTCCTAATGCATCAGGTGCCTGTAGTGTCACAGAGGCAGAGTGCCTATCACAGCCTGTTCTGTGGGAGTGGGTGGAGCTTCCTTGCTCAACTAACTGCTGGGTATTAGCATCACACCCTTCAAGAAGTGGCTCGCAGCCCACTTTTCACATTCAACTCACCTGGTAGTGGGGGCGATATTGATTTCCTGGGCCCCACCCTGGAGAGTCTGATTCAATGGATCTGAGGTCAGGCTCAGGCATTGCTAGGTTTCAAAATCTCCCCAGGTTGAGGACTACTGCCCTATGCCTGGCTGTGTTGCCCTGAGGACTAGGTAACGCTCTTCTGAAACTCAAAAGGAGATTCTCAAGCTAGTTGGCTACCTGCAGCCAATAGTACCCAGCTCTGAAGAAGGAAGGAAATGTAACACCAAAAGCCTCAAGGGCCCAGGTTCTTAGAAGCCCAGTGTTCCTATTGGAGCACTGGGTGACTGTAATGATGCTTCCTTCCCTCTCTTTCCACCTTCCACCAGCCCATGGAAATGCATGTGCACAAATACACACACACACACTACACAAACTCCTGCTTTAGCCCACCTGGCACAGAACATGGAAGCAGCCAATGTGTGTTTGTCCAAATCTCTTCTTGTCTTTCCTGGGAGGCAGGTGGTCTCCGTGTAATGCTGGTTGCCTTATATCTTCAGGTATTTGTTTGGAATTCCAGCACATCCTCTCATGGTCATGATGTGATCACAATTCTGAGCTCAGCTCAACACAGCCTATTTACCTACAATACAACTAAAGCCAAGTACAAAAAAATTCTAGATTACTGTGGATTTAGAACATTAACAACATAGGTCAACCATACTAGATTCCTGTGACACCCAAGTGTTCCATTATGGCAGAGGATAGCAGTGACACAGAATAGCAACGACGCAGGGCAGAGGAAAGTTATGGACTCCAGAGGAAGAAGAAAAAAAAAGGCTGAGAGATGAAGCTTTGAAGACCAAGGACAGGGAGTGTAACAGCTAAGTTTTAGGGGCCGGTGTTGTGGTGTAGCAGGTTAAGCCTCCACGTGCAGTGCCGGCATTCCATATGGGCACCCGTTCGAGTCCTGGCTGCTCCACTTCCGATCCAGCTCCCTGCTAATGCACTTGGGGAAGCAGTGGAAGATGACCCAAGTCCTTGGGCCCCTGCACCCATGTGGGAGACCTGGAAGAAGCTTCTGGCTCCTGGCTTCAGTCCAAGGCAGATGCTTCCATTTGGGGAATGAACCGGCAGATGGAAGATCTCTCTCTCTCTCTCTCTCTCACCCCACTCTCCTCCTCTCCCCCGATAACTCTTTCAAATAAATAAATAAATAAATCTTTTAAAAAAGAGCTAAGTTTTAAGGACCAGGGAATGGGGTGGGGAACAGTGGTTGAGGTGGTATTAGTTGTGGGTTGCCTATTTAGCAGATCATTGACACCCACAAGGGGATATCTGGGAATCTTTTAAAGTTCTCAGATATTTCCACAATATATATCTGATAAAAACTTGTAATGTAAAACATACAAAGAACTCTTAAAATTCAACAATAAGAAAATTAAAATCCTGATTTAAAAATGGGCAAAATATTTGAGTAGACATCTCACTAAAGAATATACACATATAGCAAATAAGCATATGAAAAATCTTTAACATTGTATATAACAGGGGAATGGCAAATTAATAATGAAATGCCATTACGTGTCTATCAGAGTTCTGGGGGCCAGCAAGTGGCATAGTGGGTAAAGCTGCTACCTGTGTGTTCAAGTCCTGGCTGCTCCACTTCTGATCCAACTCCCTGAAAATTCCCTTCGGAAAAGCAGCAGAAGGCCCAAGTGCTTGGGCACCTACCGCCATATAGGATACCCAGATGAAGCTCCTGGTTGGCTTCAGCCTGTTTCAGCCCTGGCCATTAGGCCATCTGGAGTGATCCAGTCCATGGCAGATCTCTCTCTCTCTTTCTTGCTCTCTGTCTCTATCTCTGTCTCTCCCTCTCTTTCTGTAACTCTGACTTTCAAATAAATAAATCTTTTTAAAAAGAATAGGTAAATTCCAAACACTGACAACACCAAATGCTGGTGATGACAGGAATAGTAGGAACTCTCCTTTAAAGAAAAATTTATTTAATCATTTGAAAGGCAGAGTTACAGAGAGAGAGGGAAAGATCTTCCATCTGCTGGTTTATTCCCCAAATGGCCACAATGGTCAAGGCTGAGCCAGGCCAAAGCCAAGAGCCAGGGGCTTCTCCCCAGTCTCCCATATGGGTGGCAGGGGCCTAAGCACTAGGGTCATCTTCCACTTCTTTCCAACGTGCATTACCAGGGAGCTGGATTGGAAGTAGAGCAGCTGGGACAAGAACTGGTGCCCGTATGGGTGCTGGCATTGCAAGCAGCAGCTTAACTCACTATGCCTCAATGCCGGCCCCACCGATGGGACTTTTTAAGACTTACCATATGATCCCAAAAGTAAACCTGGGTGTTTTTTCAAATAAAGTTGAAAATGTATGTTTGCCCAAAAACTTACACACAAATGTTTGTAACAGCTTTATTCTTAAAAAAAGAAATAATTTTAAATGAAAAAAATTAACTTATCTGAAAAGCAGAGAGATAGAGAGGTCTCCCACCTGCTAGTTTACTTCTCAAATGCCTTCAGTGACCAGGGTGGGCAAGCCTGAAGCTGGGAGACAGGAGCTCCATCCAGGTCTCCCGGGTGGGTGGCAAGGACTCAACTACTTGGGCCATCACCTGCCGCCTCCCAGAGTGTGCATCCCCAAGAAGCTGGAATTGGGAGCAGGCTCTCGGATGTGGGATGTGAGCATCTTGAGGACTGTGCCAAACAGCTGCCCCAGAGCTTTATTCTCAATTGCCAGAAACTGGAAACCACCAGGATTTCCTTCAGTGGCTAAACGCTAAGCAGTGGTACATTTACATGAAGGAATATGATTCAACAATTAGAAGAATGAGCTGGGGCTGGCATTGTGGCAAAGCAGGTTAAGCTGCCACCTGCAACATGGCATCCCATATAGACCCCTGCCACACACTTGGGAGATGCTTCTGGCTCCTGGTTTTGGCTTGGCCCAGCTCTGTCCATTGTAGCCACTTGGAGAATGAACCAGGAGGTGGAAGATCGCTCTCCCTCGCTGTTACTCAGCCTTTCAAATAAATAAAGCAGATCTTTAAGAAAAAAAGCAAGCTATTTAGCCACAAGAATACACAGAGAAACCTTAAATGCATATTGCTAAGTGAAACAAGCTGATCTAAAACGCCTACATCTTTTATGACTCTGAAGCTAAAAAGAGACAGTAAAAAGACCAACGGTTGCTAGGGGTCCTGGGGCAGGAGGATGGGAGGAATCGCAGAGCCCAGAGGATTCACAGCGCAGTGAATCTACTCCGTACACTAATGTAATGGTGGGCATAGGACATATGGATTTGTCAAAAATATATCCATAGAATATAAAACGCAAAGAAGGAACCCTAAGGTAAACTATGGACTTTAAAAAAATATCCCAAAATGTTGGTAACCAATGTATTTGTCTAGATGTGATACAAGCCAACAGTTGGCCAAACATATCAAAGGTCAGGGACCACTTTGAGCTTTCCCCTCCTATGTCACCAAGATTCTGAAGTGCACAGCAACTGACAAAGCTACTGTGTTCACAGGTGGTGGGCGGTCACCTAGGCACGCTCCCCCGAAAGTGATTCACCGCTGCACGCCAGGCAGCTCTTCAAATTCATGTTCCTGGAAGATTACAAATTATGACTTGTCATCAACCTCCTAGGCCCCTGCTGAATAGTTAAAATGAGATGAGAACAGGCTGCTATGTTGGTATTTCAGCAACGATGAGCTATTGACAGTGCGAGATGGAGGAGGAACTGACTGTCTTTGGGATCAAGAAATGGTCCAGGGAAGATTAGCAATAGGAGAGGAAGCTGATGTGCCTGATAAGGAATGACTTCAAAGTTGTAAAATAGAGAGGTGCAGTTTTTAGAAGTAAGCCAGTAAGAAACAAATTGGTTCACTTCGTTCATAAACTCACTGCTTTTTACCTGTCATGTCCAACAAATGGCTCGTGAATTGGCCTGTATTCTTGGGCTCCACAAAACTGAGAGCGACAGAAAGGTGAATGATGTTTGCAGGTGAGTAAGTGGAGCTAAGTTCTCAAGTAACTAGACTTGAAAATGAAGGTCACACAACAGGGCTTTCTGCAAGGAAGAGAATTGGGCATCCGCTGGGGGAAACAGCATTCAAGGCATGGGCACTCCGGAAAAGTCCCGAAGGATTGTGGGGCTTTTTACGGAAGGAGGTCATGCCAGGTGACAGTCCAGACCAAGAGGGCATCGTCAGCGGTGACCCAGAAGGGTGAGGACAACATTCAGTGCTGCAGTTTGGCCGGAGTGGGACACATACAGGGGGCAGGGGAACGTGTGGCTAAGGGTGAAGTTTGGACATTAAGTGGAGAGTTTTGAGTTCAGGGCTAAAGCATTTGCTCTTAATTCCGTAGGCACTTACCAGGCATTCTCTCCTGTCTCATTTAGATGAGACTCGAAAATTTTCCTTCTCACATCTTCTCTGAGAGAACAACACCACCTGGGTAGATGACCCTAGCGCAGCGGGAGGGCCCAGAGGCCCTGGAGGCCACGGTTGCAGCTGGAGCCAAGGCCACCGAGGCTCACCCAGGCAAGGACAAGGAGTGACTTGCTGTCACCTAGCTGGGGCTCTTGGGCAAGGATTTGAGGACCAAGTCCCTGGGGGAGATCTGTCTCTTCTCCCTGTCCACCCAGGAGTCTGAGATCATTGCCTTTTTCCTGCAGACATCCTCACGAATGAGGATGCAAAAGCAGACCCTTGCTGGCCAGCAGACCAGGTTCGAGCATGTGTTGCCATGGGGACTACACGGCCATATTGGCCTGGGTGTTAGGTGCTCCAAGGAGGCAGCCACCAGCACCTGAGGGGCCATCATCCTGGCCAAGCTCTCCACTGTGCCCACATGAAAGGCCACCAGGGGAACAAGGTGTGACCATGCCTTGCAAGGTGACCGGCCGCTGGGGCTGTGTGCTGGTGTGCCTCATCCCTGCCTCCAGGGGCACTGGCACTTTTAGGCCCTTGTGCCCACGAAGTTGCTGCTGATGGCTGCTGCAATGACTGCCACCCAGAACAACGACACCAAGGCCACCTTGTGTGCCATCTCCGAGACCTGCAGCTGTCAGGACCCCTGTCCTCAGGAATTCACTGGCCATCTGGCGAAAGACTCCCATCAGAGGTTCTGAGCGCAGGACCCAGACTCCAGCCGTGGCTACAACATAGAGTTTTTATACAAGGACATAAAGTGAATTAAGCCTGTAAATAAAAAAAAAAAAAGGACAATAAATGATTCTCTGTGCCTGGTGCTGATGCTGCTAGACATTTCCCTTCCTCCCGCCTTCCTTGGTTCTCTGTCCTCTTCCTCCCCTTTCTCCCTGTGCTCCTAGTAGTTTCAGATCCCCTTCCAGCCCCCTCCCCTCTTCAAATCAAGGTGCAGTAGCTGCCCTAATCTAATCTATCACCTTAGTTCTAAATTTTTTTTTCACATTCATTTGAAAGACAATGTGAGAGAGAGAGAGAGAGAGGTCTTCCATCTGCTGGTTTATTCCCTAATGGCTGCAATGGTCAGGGCTGGGCTGATCTGAAGCCTGGAGCCAGGAGTTTCTTCCAGGTCTCCCACATGGGTGCAGTGGCTCAAGGACTTGGGCCATCTTAATGCTGCTTTCCCAGGCCATAGCAGAGAGCTGGATCAGAAGTGGAGCAGCTGGGACTTGAACCGGTACCCATATGGGATGCCAGTGCTGCAGGCCAGAGCTTTAACCAGCTGTGGCACAGCACCGCCCCCTCCCTGGTCCTAATTTTAAGGATTCTCTGAGATGTTTCTCCCATCCTAACTCAACATAAGCCACCAGATAAACAGCTTTCTGTTCTCTGACTTCTTAAAAAAAAATCTTTCCTTAATCACCAAGTTAACAGCTCTATTCACAGATTTAAAAGTTCCTGGGAAGTGGTAGAGAGGAGAGCGCTGGGGGCCCAGATGGGGATTCCATCCTTAGCTGGGGGGCGGTAGTTAATGCAAACCTAGGAATGAAGCTGGCCAGCCACAGGCACACTCTCTCCCAGGAGCAAACAGCCTCTTAGAAGGGTGTCATTATCCCCTTTTTACTCATTCCATAGCGTTTACTCAGTGTCTTCTCTGACCCCAGCACTATGTAGGTTTAGGAGATGGTTG